AAGATGATAAGAATAAAGATGATAGGCTAAGAAAGGTGATATTCATTCCCTCATCAATAGTGATGTTATTTGATGAAATGTCAAGGGTAAAAAGATTTGTGAGATTCACAAGTGATTGAGGAAAAGAACCACTGAGTTGATTATTGCTTAAATGCAGTTCTTTTAATGTTGGGTTTGTTTTGATCACTTCATCGGCTAGTCTTCTGAATCGGTTATGTTGGAGCGACACTGAAGATAGCAAAGGTAGGCTAAACACCGAAGATGGTATGGTACCATTCTGTGAGTTGTATGTCAAATCCACAGAAGTTAGCTTTTGAAGCATGCTTGGGTTGCTAGGCAGTGGGCCAGATAGGGAGTTACTCGACATGTCTAAGTATTCAAGATGTGTCAAACTTAAAATTGAAGAGGGAAACGAACCGATGAAGCTGTTATTAGAAAGATGTAAAGTACGTAGCTCTTTGAGGTTAGAGAAAACATCAGGAATTTCACCTGAAAAGGAGTTGGAAGAAAGATCTAAATAACTTAGCTTTTGGAGGTTAGAGAAAACATCAGGAATTTCACCTGAAAAGGAGTTGGAAGAAAGATCTAAATAACTTAGCTTTTGGAGGTTAGAGAAAACATCAGGAATTTCACCTGAAAAGGAGTTGGAAGAAAGATCTAAATAACTTAGCTTTTGGAGGTTAGAGAAAACATCAGGAATTTCACCTGAAAAGGAGTTGTCAGAAAGATATAAAATTCTGAGGTGCTTTAATTTAGAGATTGTGGAAGGAATATGGCCAGTGAAATGATTATTAGATAAATCCAACTCCCTAATTTGTGTTAGGTTGCCTATGGAATGAGGAATGGAACCAGAGAATTGACATCTATGGAGGTTCAAGATATTCAAGGAACTGAAGGTGCCAATTGAATGAGGCAGCTCACCAGAGATGCCTGTGTTTGAAATATCCAACTCCATTAACAGAGTGTTGCTCCGGTGGATCTTTGGAAAAACTCCTTTGAGAAGATCATTATCACTCAATTTGAGCGTTTCCAAGCTGTTTGACGGAAGGAAAAAGCTCTCTGTGAGAACACCTCGCAGATTAGTATAACCAAGATCCAGATACCTTAAGGAGGAAGAAGAAATATTCACAGGTATCGCAGATGAGATGTTGACTTCAAAGAGAGAAAGTATCTCCAGATTTGTGAAGTTCTGAAACATTGCTTCAAATGTTCTCTCGTCAAGTTGTAATCCATTCCAAAAAGATCAAGTGAAACCAAATTGGAAAGGCATGAGATTTCTGTTGGGATTTTCCCATCAAAGCCAGAGAGTTTTGTGCCTCAAATTCGTCAATCGGCCAATGCCATTTGGGATTGAAGAAGGATTAAAGTAATTGCTATCAAGGTTTAGTGTTTGGAGATGATGGAGTTGGAAGAGGGTGCTATTGGGATGAAAAGTGCCAAAAAGCTGACTACAACTAAGGTCTAACCTGATAACATGACCGTTTAATAAGTCACAAGTGACTCCATCCCAACTGCAGCAATCCCTACTCTCATTCCAAGACTCTGTTTTTGGGAAAGAAGCTCCATCACCCAGAAAACTAAAGTACGTAATTTGAGAGGATTGTTTGAACTGAAGCAAAGCAGAAGCTTCAGTGGGAGAGCAAAGATGATGATCAAAGGAAGAAGAAAAGCATTCACTTATTAGCAACACAAAACACAGAAATGAATAAAAGAAAAAGAAACGTCCCATTTTTTGTTTGTTTGTTTGTTTTCAGCAAATAACAGGATGTTTGTTCTCTTCTTACAAATCAATCAGCATTATCCACATATATATATACTAGTTTCAGTTGTCATACATAAATTGAATACCTATAACGTAATCCAACAAGTAAAGTTTCAAGAAGATAGGATATACGAAGACCTTTATGAAGTAAGAATACAAACAACAAAAATTTTCAATGAAAAAATATAATATTAAGTTAAAATAATCAAATCTTACTCAAAACATTAAGAAGATTATACAATGGTATTGAAATAATTGCGCTGAATTTGATAAGTTGATATAATATTATGAAAATGGTATTGATTTCGCTACATCAAAAATGATTTATAACGGCAATTAATTAAGTTTAATTGCCGCTAAATATGTATTTTTAACGGCAATTAACACTCTTTGCATATGTCCCTAAAGCTTTTTGCGACATTGGATCTAATGACACTTAACTAATACCGGTAAAATCTTTAACACTCTTTATTAATGTATATATTTATTGCCGCTAAAAGTTGTTTTTGTTGTAGTGTTTGTTGCAGTGCTTGTAATTCAAAGAATACACCAAAAAACAAATTAGATCTTTTTTTTTAACACCCAACAATTTATTTTGCATAATGCAAAAGGTTTTACCGTTTGGTAGGCTTTAGAATATTCAATAATGAATAAATAAAAATAGTAATAGGAATAAAAAAGGTAAAAATAATAATATGGGTTCATGATGATTGTCATAACAAAGAATGTTATAATTATCTAAACACTATTTTATTTCTTAATTATTACAACGACCTCCATATTAAATAAAGTAAACAGTTAACTAAACACTATTTGATAAAGTAACGTTGTTTACTTGTCTATGCATGAGACTATGAGGTATAAATTAACGAAAGAAAAGAAACACATCCAGACAAATAAAATGGGGTAATAATTTGTGGTTACAAAAAAAATTGTCCCAAGTGTTAAGTCAATTTCCAGGAAGACTCAAATTAAAGTCACTTCTAACAACTTGTTACACATATTTTGTAGTGTTCCATAAGACTTTTTAGAGCATGAAGAAGACTTCACAAAATAATACTTCGGCCAAACATATATGTAGATATTTAAACTTGTTCCTAAATTTCATTTTGACACTCCAACTCAACCTTGTTCCATTTTAACCCTTCAACTCCAATTTTTATGTTTCATTTAGGTACTTCTTTCCAAAGAATCAACAAAGTGGACGTATGTATTTCACACACCATGACATGGCATAAAATTCAATTAAAAACATACACAACTCATCTAACTTGCCCCCATTTTTCATTTTGACATTCTAACTTAGTCTTGTTCCATTTTAATCCTTCAACTCTGTTTTATATACAATTTAAACACAAAATACTAAATTTATGATTTCTTCATTTTTATTTATGTTCTTCATTTTCACTTTTTCATTTTAAAAATTAACGTCATATCTTTTTCTTAAAAAATAATAATTAATGGATGAACATCAATTTTTTTAAAATGTTTGCGCCTTATTCTTTAGGTATTCAATATACGTCTTAACAACAGTGTTTTGTAAGTGAAACAGAGTAACAACGTAACATACCTAGTGTAATCCCACAAGTGGGGTCTGAAGAGAGTGACATGTACCCTTTGTTTCCAATAGTTCGAATGTATTTTAGGCTTTTCTCCGTTTGTTCTATTTTTTGTTTCTCGAAAAATTGAATGCTAGAGCTTTAAAGAAATTTTCTTACTATCAACTCGTCTAAAAGTAACTATAGATGACTCTTCATTATAAGTGAAATTAATAACATGCAAATCAAGGTAAACAACATGCTAACTACAACACGTTAAATTATACTGATTGTAGACTTCATATTGTTGGTATATATAATTTAAATTTGTTTAAATATGAATGTCATATGGAAAGAAATTTTTTGAATCCTTAACTTCATGGTGAATGACCCAAATATAGATGCCAAAACTTAATGGGCTTTTAGAAATTACAAAAGAGGGTTAAATATGTGAATTACAGTGAATTTATGATTAGTTTTAAGTCGTTACAATAATTGAGTTACAATTATTATCTTTGCCGGCAATAGCAAAAGCGACAAATATGCTTGTTTCGACTTTAATGGCAATAGTAAAGGCCGCTAAAAGAAATTACTTTTAGTGGCAATAATAAGGGTCTTTACCGGCACTCGACATAAATGTCACTAAAGGCTTTAGCGACATTGGATCCAATGACATTTAATCAAATGCCGGTAAATGTATTTGTGGCAATAAATATTGTTGTTAAAAGAAAAATCAATTGCCGCTAAAGGTCTCTTTTGATGTAGTGTATATGAGGTATAAATTAACGAAAGAAAAGAAACACATGCATCCAGACAA